CTTGTGCGTACTTAGTTAAAATATGTATCACAGCACAGAACGTGACTGCACTGCAGCCAATAAGTGCATTGCTATTTATATCAGTATGTTCCTTAAGTGCGCTTGGGACAGATGAGGCCAAGTGTGTTTGTATGTGAGTGGGTGTGAACGTCAGATCTGAATTACGTAAGACACGGTTGTTATTTTGTTTAGCAACCAAAAACTGTACAAACGATTACTTAGTATGTTGGTCTTACGTTTTTTTTTATTCCTGAAAGCTGTGACTGACATGAAGTTATATTTATATAGATATATATACACACAGTAAAACAGTTTATTTAGAAAAAAGATCATATCGCTTTAGAAGCAAGATAATGCGATACATTTAGAATAATCTGTCTGTGTCGTACACCATTTAAAAAAAAATAAAAAAATGCATACTGATATTATGTTTCTATTATCAATTTTTAAAGGTGTAATCACATGTGTCAGTCGCGTGATAAAAATCAGGAATTAAAAAAAAAAACAGAGCCACGAGATACGATATTAATTGGAAGAGGTCACGTGCATTCAGGAAACGCTTGCTTTTACCATGTTCCTTTAAAGTTTGCCACGGACATTTCTTAGAAATCGTATCTACACTGTTTAATGCTATATTTTCGTTTTCAGTAAAGATGCAACTAGGATTGATGTTTTGTTCCCTAACTTCCCAGCAATTATTGGCAAGGTCAATAACTAGAACTGCAACAGGAACAGCTGACGTCTTGTACTGTTTCTTAAATTTACAAAAACAGAACTAACCAAGATCAAAACTAACTTTATCATATCTGATTAATTTGTTCTTAATGTTTATATTGAAGATAAATAATATTTGAAATGAATATAACTGGCATATAGATAATCATTGATTTAAGTACTGGTACGTTTAAAACATTGCTTTTTTTAAAGGACTATTTTGCGAGAGCGTAATCTTCGACGGTAACAGTAGTACTGCGGCTTTGTTTTCATACACTTAATCTTCATTGATAGACTTCAGAAGTACATTGCTACACCAGATGAAAATATGTATTCATTATGAGCTGCATTTAAAAGAAATGAAATATCATTTGAAGCTTTTGTAACAAGTTAAAATGTTCTATACTAATGCTTAAAGTATCTAGATATAATTCTGTTTTTATAATTAACATTTTCTGGAATGTATTTAAAAGTAATCGTTGTGGCAATGATAGTGTTATGCAGAGTAAACCAAAAATGAAATATTAAGTGAAAAAAAATCATTGTTTAAATATCAAATTAAATTTTTAAAAAAAAGAAGAATGTATCCAACACTTTTTGAAACGAATTGAATCAAACTCATTTTTGTGCTGTTGTTAACGTTTGCCATTATCTATATACACACATAAAAAAACCAACGAATTGAGAAACAGTTCAATTTGTATTACTAAAATTATAATTCCATGCAATCGGCAATGTTTTTACTATGTATGAAAAACTCAATCTACAATAATACAATTGAATGCATTCAAATATGTTGTTCAATATGCCCGACAATCGTTTGAAAAGCTTTATAAATGCATACGATTGCCCAATGGCAAACTTTGTATACGAAATGTGTTCCCCACAAAGCGTCTTATTCATTTTAAACACACATACACTGAAAAGGAACATTCGATGCAATTTCAAGTGTCAATCATCAGGCTTGCTTTACAGACAGCGTGCTCCAGTTTAAAAGATTTGTTAACTTAAATTGTTATTGTCATTCACTTTCACTTTGATCCGTTATACTATATTTAGAAGTTATTTATATTCATGAAATTTATATAATGTTTCATAGCTGTATATTTAAAAGAACGAACAGAAAATTTGAGAAAATTTTACCATCAGGAATTGAACCTTTTTGATGAATTAATAATTTTGCTGCGATGACCATGCAACACAGGTAAAACCTTTGTAAGCGACACTGCAAATATTTGAAGATTTCTAGAATATAAATGTCCGAACGAGTTTTGTTTGCGTAAGACGCAATCATATTACCTCATACCCATGGAATAACGATTTCACAACCCAATATACTACATAGTCATCCTCGATATTCCAGGGGTTACGCTCAATCACGCTCTCTGCACCGCTGGAATATGTCACAGCAAAATTGAAGGCACGGAATTAGTTATTTGATTGGTCTCAGGTAAAACAAAAACCTGACTAATCGCTAGTCTGATATAATTCCTGTCCTTTGAAGATTACAGAGGAGCGACTCCTGACGCCAAAAGCCAGTCAATATTACCTTTATGCTATCGCGAGATTCTGTCGCTGTTCATCAAAGGATCAAACTAGTCTTCTTGTCTCATCCACAAGGGCGAGTTAAGATCCTTCAATTTCGTCATGTCATATTCCAGGGGGCAGAGTTCATAGCTTCATCTTTGTCGGCATATTCCAGGGATGTAGAGAGCGTAGGTGAACGTTACACCTGTAATTCGATGATGAATACTTGGTATACTGAATGACACGTTACCCAACGCAAAATTATTTGTTCACTATTTCCGTTATGAATATAGTCTATCATACATGTATGTATGTGGGATAGGGGTATTCTAATCGAGAATGATGTGGACTTTGAATCAGAACTGAAGAATTATCGAGGTTCTGACTCCAAATTCTGCACCATATCCCACAAGCTTTCATATTGATGAACAGTTATCCTCTCACCTCTCAGCCTACATTTTGGTAAAACACGTCATTGACAATACAAAAGCAAATCTAAATAAAGCAAACCTTTTAGATAAAGTAAATTCAAACTTAGGTCATATTTGATAAAAGCAAAAATAAGAAAAGCATGTCTACGGTATACCTCAACTTTCAAGATGTTCATGAGGTGATCTCGCTTGCTAATGGCCAGGTTATCATTCAAACAACGTTTTGACAGGCTTTCTTTTTTTACGTCGTAAACGTGGGATATATCAATATCTTCCTAAAGTTTAATTGCAATTATTAGTGAACTTATTTCATAAAACTCGCTTCATTCAACTGTGATTCCAGTTCTTCTTCGTTTGCTGCTGTCTAACTGCGGTGCAGTATGACATGTTCTCGAATGAAAACGCAAGTATGCACGTCAGCAATGATTTTCTAATACAACATTCCATTTTGTTTTATTTTACGTATATTTTTGAACACAATTTGTGATTCCTTAATAGACAAAATGGATATATATATATGATGCTATTTTTAACTTTTTTGGATTTTTTTCATCAAGTTACAAGATTTTTAGATGTTTAGAATATAAAGGTAAAAAGAAAAATATGTAAAATACATTTTATATGCATTTGTATATATATAACACTATATATTTGATCTTTTCATTTTACAATTTACTTTGTATTTAGTGTATTTAACTACAATGCTAATTGGTAGTTGATACCTAATTTGTTTTGTTACCAACATCTCAAATCTATTGATCTTTCCAACATATTTTCATTCTTGTTTACTGCTTCTAATATCGAGCTTACCTTTCATGTTTGCCTTTTGATAGGGTTTTGAACAGGAAGTTGTTGGTCAGTTAGGGCTTCACTGTGACAGGAATGACAATGGAGAAAGATTTGTCTCTTTCTGTGCCATCGACAACCTAGCCATTGCTAGCCATCAACACTAAAGATTCAACATAAGAACAGGACGATGGAGATGGAAAGGGCATGTGTTGAGAATGGCGCCCAACTGACATACACGTGTAGCACTGGGTTGAACACCAGAAGGGAAAAGGAAACGAGGAAGACCAAAAGAAACCTGGAGTATGTCAGTAGAGGAGGAAATGAAACACCTAGGCTTCTCATCATGGACAGACGCTGCATAGAAGGCAGAAGATAGAATGTTGTGGAGAGGAGTTGTTCATGGCCCTATTCTCTACTTAGAGAGAAGGAACTAAGTCAAGTTTGATAGGGTAAATGTATATGTACTAAAGAAGGTACCTCCCGTTATGTCCTAATTAATCCATTCGCCCCTTTATTCACATTTGATTAATACCAATTCCAAGACTGGACAAGTCCAGATTTGATATATTGGGGTGAATGCGTTAAAAGCACTAGCTCGGCTACATATCTAAGTACGAAGTCGAGTATGTACTTGTAACCAAACGGCTTCCATACTTTTTATATCCTTTTTCAAGGCAAGCTATTTTTATATCGCCAAATGAACATTGAACTTAGCCTTATCGTTCATGCCAACAACATAAACAGCCTCGTGCGCTTCTTTCCCATTTACCGTACATACTATAATAATATTGATAGGCTATGTATTTTATAACTATAATGTATATAAATTGCAACATGTCAATAATGTTTTATATGTTATAGATTAGGTGAAATAATATGAACTTCTTTTATTAATATGTATAATTATGTAGCATATAAATAACCGTATATCTTGTAAGTTTAATATGCTATATATTATATAATATGTATAATACTTAGTATGAACTTTTGTAATTATATATAGTACTGTGTTATAATTACTTTTTTATAAATGGTTAATTACTTACCATGAATATACTTAAAAGAAATGATACATAGAGTTTCATTAGCGATTTATCAGAGGATGATTACATTTCAGACTCAGATTTTTTATATACAGATAGTAGTGCTATATATATTTGATATTAAGAGTATGTGTATATGTACGTATTGTTTTCCTCATTTATATATTTCAATTAACATAATTCTGATGTAATTATGTTAATTATTTTACCTCTGTAATACGTGTGGAAATATATACATCTACATAAAGGAGTAATATTCCCGCAATAAGATATAAAACAAAACAATTATTTTTGCCAGGGAGTATATGTGGTGTCATGTCACGATATCATTAAAACTGGTATCTATACTGCAGGTGTCTATCCCTTGACTGGGCTTCCTTCCACTCGACTAGCAACGAACAGACGCATTGTACAAATCGATGACGAGTATCCGTCCAAACCAGTTGAAACCGGCGAGATTGTGGTTTTAAAACGATAAATCACGCATGCTAATTTATCCAGAACCACAGGGGAATCGTTGATTATATATTGGGGAGGGCAGGTTGGCGTTTCCAAGTGACAGGAAAACGTAGCTTGTGTCGCACTTTGATTCACGGTCACGTTTACACAGTTGTCTAGGAAACACGACAGTTTTGGTTGCTGCGCCAGCCTTGTTTAGGTTAATTTATAGTATACACTGTATAGATAAATACGCGTCTCCCCTGGTGTGGACATTTGTGACGCGCATGTGCAGAACTTGCTGTGAAGCATTGCCGTGTGCTAGCAGCTATATCTCAGTAGAGAGGACATAACGATCGAGCCCTAAACAGGTATATATTCTTGATGACATTTTCTCACTGCAATATGATTTAATTATAATTTCATCTCTTTTTACAGTTGTTATTCATTTAGAATCGCAGAATTAACGAGCTCTAAATGGATGTTTCTCGACGACACGCGCCTTTGTTTACAAATCTATATTTAACTTGGAATGCAACTGTTTCAAGGGATGCGGCGTTTGTGTGTGTGTATAGAAAAGCGAGTCTGCCTCTGCAGTGTGAATGTATAATGAGTGATATTCACACATGTAATAATAATTTTAGGTAGAGTTTCTGAGATAAACTAACACTTTATGTGTAGGATATCGAAGAATTGTTGTTGGGCTGAGTATAATTGAAAACTAATAGACAAAGCAGGTCGTGTAGCGGTCATGCAGCAACTTCAGAGAAGCTTCACAACAAAGAATGTGTACTTGGTGGGAGAAGGCCAAATGCTGACCCTGTAACCGCTAGGGAACCCCCGTGCTCGTGTATGTCACGCCTCACGAATCAGATGGAAAGGTTAACAAATAGAACTCGAGGCGAGCTTTAAAAAGCAGACGAATGCGCCAGACATCTCATTATTGTATTGACTAGTCGCTGGAAAGTAACGACAACCCTATTCGAGACCAAGTGTTCTGTATGTAATAACTTCACATTTCATTGTGTGTATAGTACGAGAATTGAAGTATGAAAATATTTAGAAATCGGAGACAAACAAAGGCAGAATTGCGTCATCTGGACGCGTCTATATTAATCTGATTACGTAGCGGTAATACAGGTAAAACATACTAGGATGTTGAGTTTTGCCCATAAAGATCTGCGTGTAAGTTAGTGGCAATGCTAAAGTTAGAATGTACTTGTTAAGTAAGGTATGTGTGATATAAATACAGGTGTATGACATCGATAGAGGTGTGTGCGACTTTGATAAATATCGATGTGGATAAAGGAGTGTTACAACGATACATGTGCATGTGACAGTAATACAGGCGTGTGTCAATAATACAGGTGTGTGACAATGATACCGGTGTGTGACATTGATACAGGTGTGTGACAGAGATATATGTGAGTGACAATGACACAGGTTTGTGACAATGATACAGGTGTGTGACAATGATGTAGGTGTGTGAAAATGATACAGGTGTGTGACAGTGATACAGGTGTGAGACAATGACACAGGTGTGAGACAATGATACAGGTGTGTGACAGTAATACAGGTGTGTGACAGTGATACACACCTGATCACTGTCACACACCTGTATGACAGTCATACACCTGTATCACTGTCACACATCTGCATCACTGTTAAATACTTGTATCATTGTCACGCACCTGTATGACAGTCACACACTCACACACCTGTATCACTGTGATACAGGTGTGTGACAATGATACAGGTGTGTGAGAGTGATACAGGTGTGTGACAGTGATACAGGTGTGAGACAATGATACAGGTGTGTGACTGTGATACAGGTGTGTGACAGTGATACAGGTGTGCGACAGTGATACAGGTGTGTGACAGTGATACAGGTGTGTGACAGTGACACAGGTGTGTGACAATGATACAGGTATGTAACAGTGATACATGTGTGTTACAATTATACAGGTGTGTGACAGTGGTACAGGTGTGAGACGGTGATATACGTGTGGGACAGTGATACAGGTATGTAACAGTGATCATGTGTGTGACAATAATACAGGTGTGTGACAGTGTAACAATTGTGTGACAGTAATACAGGTGTGAGACAGTAATACAGGTATGAGACAGTGATATAGGTGTATGCCAGTGATACGGGTGTGTGACAGTGATACATTCTTGTGACAGTGATACAGGTGTGAGACAGTGATACACGTGTGGGACAGTGATACAGGTATGTAACAGTGATACATGTGTGTGACAATAATACAGGTGTGTGACAGTGTAACAAGTGTGTGACAGTAATACAGGTGTGAGACAGTAATACAGGTATGAGACAGGGATACAGGTGTGTGACAATGATAAAGGTGTGTGCCAGTGATACAGGTGTGTGACAATGATACAGGTGTGTGACAGGTATGATACATGTGTGTGACAATGATACAGGTGTGTGGCAGTGATACAGGTGTGTGACAATGATACAGGTGTGTAACAGTGATACAGGTATGTGACGGTGTTACAGGTGTTTGTGACAGTGTTACAGATGTGTGACAGTGATACATTTGTGTGACAGTAATACAGGTGTGAGACAGTGATACAGGTGTGTGACAATGATACAGATGTGTGACAGTGATACATTTGTGTGACAGTGATACAGGTGTGTGACTGTGTTATATGTGTGTGACAGTGATAAAGGTGTGTGACAGTAATACAGGTGTGAGACAGTGATACAGGTGTGTGACAATGATACAGATGTGTGACAGTGATACATTTGTGTGACAGTAATACAGGTGTGAGACAGTGATACAGGTGTGTGACAATGACACAGGTGTGTGACAGTGATACATGTGTGTGACAGTGATACATTTGTGTGACAGTGATACATGTGTGTGACAATGATACAGGTGTGTGACAGTGATACATGTATGTAACAGTGATACGGGTATGTGACAGTGATACAGGTGTGTGACAGTGACACAGCTGTGTGACAGTGATACAGGTGTGTACGATGATACAGGTGTGTGACAATGATACAGGTGTGTGACAGTGATACAGGTGTGTGACAATGACACAGGTTGGAGACAATGATACCGGTATGTGACAGTAATACAGGTATGTGACAATGATACAGGTGTGTGACAGGTATGATACATGTGTGTGACAGTGATACAGGTAGGTGACAGTGATACAGGTATGTAACAGTGATACAGATGTGTGACAATGATACAGGTGTGTGAAAGTGTTACATGTGTGTGACAGTGATACAGTTGTGTGACAGTGATACAGGTGTGTGACAGTGATACAGGTGTGTTACAGTGATACAGGTGTGTGACAGTAATACAGGTGTGTGACAGTGATACAGGTGTGTGACAGTGATACAGGTATGTAACAGTGATACAGGTATGTGACAGTGATACATATGTGTGGCAGTGATACAGGTGTGTGACAATGATACAGGTATGTAACAGTGATACAGGTATGTGACAATTATACAGGTGTGTGACAGTGATACAGGTGTGTGACAATGATACAGGTGTGTAACAGTGATACAAGTTTTTGACAGTGATACAGGTGTGTGGCAGTGATACATGTATGTCACAGTGATACAGGTGTGTGACAATATTACAGGTAGATGACAGTGTTACAGGTGTGTGACAGTGATACAGGTGTGTGACAGTATTACAGGTGTGTGACAGTGATACATTTTTGTTACAGTGACACATTTGTGTGACAATGATACATGGTTGTAACAGTGATACAGGTGTGTGACAGTGATACAGGTGTGTGACAATGATACAGGTATGTGACAGTGATACAGGTGTGTGACAGTGATACAGGTGTGTGACAATGATACAGGTATGTGACAGTGATACAGGTGTGTGACAGTGATACAGGTGTGTGACAGTGATACAGGTATGTAACAGTGATACAGGTGTGTGACAGTGATACAGGTGTGTGACAGTGATAAATGTATGTAACAGTGATACAGTTGTATGACAGTGGTACAGGTGTGTGACAATGATACAGGTGTGTGACAGTGATAAATTTTTGTTACATTGATACATGTGTGTGACAGTTATACATTTGTGTGACAATGATACAGGGTTGTGACAGTGATACAAATATGTAACAATGATACAGGTATGTGACAATGATGCAAGCATTGGTACTGAAAAAGCGTTTTTGTAATAAATAAAAAAACAAAGAACGAAAATTATCTCAAAAATTCATTTTTTTAAAAATTTTTATAAACCCTCGGTCCTTATTATTGAAGCTACCAATTATTTTAGTATATGCTTGTTAGCCTCTGAAATGATAAGGAATTTTATTGAGCTATTCTCATCAACTTATTTAAATGGTATACATATTTTTATAAAATCATTCAAAATGGTTACATTAAATTATAAACAAACAGAGGTAATAAATACAACAAAACACTTGATGGGCGACATTTGTGATGATAACATTTGCATATGACCTTTTAGTGTATAAGGTCTAAACTCCATTCCCATTCTTTCCGCAAATTAAATGAATTTGTACCTTGTACGATGAATCAACGACAAATGCGATAAGGAGGCCACATTACACTCCCACTCAAAACCTACATATCGTGTTCAAATACACTCTCCCCTCCTGTCGGATACTGGTAGCTGTGGTGATCGTTTCGTAACACTTTGATGTATAATTGACAAGCCTTGTGGCTTGCTACAGTGCATCATACTTCTAAATATAGATTATTGATTTTTTTCCAGACGAGTGATACCACTTCCACAGAGTATAGCTAACGAGTGAATATGGCAAATGAAAGCATGGAGAACTCCAACCAATCTATAGAGAGTAAGTACTGCATTTCTTTCCGATTTAGTTTATTATCATTCCCTCTATATTTTTTTCTGAATGAGGTTGTTAACTTATTCAAACATGATATGAAATTCCCATTCTCCGGTGCCCTATCATTGTTTTGTTATGTAAATCCGAGAGCTATTTAGATTTATGTCTACAAAGCAAATAACTACGCGAAAAGTGCCGCTTTTTCGTTCAATAAATACTAGAAATATGAATTAACTCATTCACTCCTGAACTTTTTCTATTGAACTATTCTATCCTTTGAATTGGAAGAGTTAAAATGTGACTTCAGGGGTGAATGACTTAATGAAGTATATATTTAAGAATTCAGAATTCAGTTTAATTGATGCAGAATGACAAAAAGATTAAAGAATAATCAGCACCATATATGGTCATTTCGTCCATAATGGTGAAAACACGTTTAGATCAAAACAGAAACAGAATAGATAAAAAGTATAAGATAACAGTTTGTCTTTCTATGAAAGCGATAATCGTGTAACACGACATGGCCCTAACCTGATAGTTACTTCAAACTATAAAATACACTTAATACTTACCTTATTTAATACAACATTTACTGATAAACAATAGATAAGTTGTCAGTTTTTACCAGTAGTCAAATAAATACGCCATGATCCTAACCTGATAGTTACTTCAAACTATAAAATACACTTAGTACTTAGCTTATTTAATACAATATTTACTGATAAACAAAAGATAAGTTGGTCAGCTTTTACCGATAATCAAATAAATACGACATTATCCTAACCTGATAGTTATTTAAACCGATATAAAACACACTTGATATTTACCTTAGTTAATACAACATTTACTGATAAACAAAAGATATTTTGTAACATTTACCAATAGTCAAATAAACACGACATACTCCTAACCAGATAGGTATTTAAAAATCTTAATACATACCCTAGTTAATACAACATTTACTGATAAACAATAGATATTTGGTCAGCTTTTACAATCTGAGCATGTGCATATTTTTTCTGATTTTTTCAAGAACTGTTCAGTTATAAGTTTATGTGTGATAACCTCAAGTAGTACCATTTACTTAGCATACAGTGTCTTTATCTTTCTTATAAAAGTGTTAGTAATGAATTATTAACTGTCATACCTGTTTGAGAGACCACCTATGATAAGAGCCACTTTTTAATAACCCCATTATTGCCCAATAGTTTATATGAATTATAATTAGTAATTTTTGACTTTTTATGGCTTTTTGTCCAATTTCGGCGGTAGGGGTGAAACAGTCAAAACTGCTTTCCTGGTCAGAACGAATTATTACCCGGCGCGAATTCGATGCGCAGAAATCCCTCCTCGAGAGCCCCGTTCAAGCGTTTATTTGACCTCTTTCGTTATTGTTAAACAAATAAACATCATTACATGCAGAATTGATACTATTATGCATTTAGTAATAAATCAATTGTTTCAATGATATTTTTGGAACAGTCAAAAATGCCATCACTCAGTAGGGGGAAGCCATGTAGAACTGTTTGCCCGAGGATTCCACCTACCTCCGGATGATAGTTTTGACTGGTCCCAAAATAGCCATGAAGCAATTTTATACTGTAGAATTTTTTAACTGAATTTGGATTAAGAGACCACCTCCAGAAAGAGACCACCTTACCTGCTTCCGGAGAGCGGTATCTGAAAAGCGTTAAACTGTAACAAAACAAACTGTGTGCATCTATTTGTACAAATTGTTTCGCAGATTTATGCGAAGTGCATGCAGTTTGTTGAGGCTCATTTTCCGTCTTTGCGTATTGCAGAGTTATCTTCTCTTGGGAGCAGGTATTGATTGTTACGTCACTTGTTTGTGAGAGTAACGTCATCAATTTTTGAGAAAACGACGTAATTTTCTCACACAAAACCAATGACGTAACAATCAATACCTGCTCCCAAGAGAAGATAACTCTGCAATATGCAAAGACGGAATACAACATACATGTAACTGGAAACATATATTTGCTATTCCTTACTTAACTTGTACTGGTAGGAAAATATGATGAATAAATACTACGATTAAATAGTTAAAATGACGACACAATATTGAATAAATACTCCGATTATATTGAAAATGATTAAAATGATGACACAATATTGAATAAATACTCGATTAAATGGTTAAAATGATGACACAATATTAAATAAATACTCTGGTTAAATGGTTAAAACAGAATTTTATTTACGTGTTAAGGGCCCCCCGAGGATGACCCTGGGCCGCGCATGGAGTCCGATGAAAACGCACAACTGGCGCATAGTGAGGAAAAACCAGATGAAGGGGACCAGGCTGAAACAAAGACAGAAGACAAATCTGGCGAGGATGTTGATACCAACATGTCATGGACGAAGGAGGTAGAACTGAGCATGGACAACTCTTCTTATAACAACTCAATCACTAGCACTGATAGCAGGTCCGCGCTGCTAAATGGTGAGACCGGAACTGACGTCACCGTTAAAGAAAAGCCTACCATTCTGGATATCCCTTACATTCAGGTCGTGTATGAATACAACGATTTCCAGGATCTTGCCAACGTCGACCAATACAGGTCTCGTTCTAACACCATGATGGGTCTGCTGGAAAGTCCGGCTTACATCGATTCCGTTAACTGTCCGACCCCTGACCGACGCAGGCTTGCCAGGGCGTGCCGCAACGCTGTGCTGACACTCAGTCAGGATATCGTACAGAAGAAGACCATGGGATATGTTCCTAACGATCCTGATAAGTACGATGATGCTACACCGAACGACAAAGACGAGGATGATCCAGGGGACTTTAATTCAATTAACCATCATATGAACAATCTTGTGTTCCTCGGCATCACGGTGTTTCTGATGGCCACGGCTATCCTGTCCCTGAAGAATCTACAGAGCAGTCTGAACCACAATGATAATGTTGGTCTGTACTCCCTAGCGGCAGGCTATTGCAGTTTTACTGTATTCAGCCTCTTTACGCCCTTCATTGTCCAAAGGTTCCGTCCCAAACGTTGTCTTATTATCGGGCTCCTGCCACAAGTGTTGTACGTGGCGGCAAACCTCTACCCAACGTTTCAGGTCCTGGTTATCATGGCATTCTTTCAGGGTATAGGGAACGCCATTTTATGGAATGCCATTAGTACCTATGTCACATATCTCGCACGCTCATACGCTCTTAAAAACGATGACCGCACAGTTCATGTGGCCAGTAGGTATTTTGGAATCATTTTCTTCTTCTACCAGTTTTCCATGGTAGTTGGAAACCTCATATCATCTGTTGTACTCATGTTAGGACGTACTCAGGACACGCTGCCAACTCACAACCGTACCGCAACAGTTTTCACCCATACGTCTTTCAATCATTCATACAGACCTATGACAGACATCAACCATTCCTCCCAGGCGGTTAGTCCTGGTTTCTGTGGCAGCAAATACTGTCATTCCGATAACTTTGCACTGCCAAATATGACCGTGAATAATGAAACCAAATATACGCTCTTAGGCATATTTGGTCTCTGTGTTGCATTTTCCGTTGTTGTTCCGATGTACTTGTTGAGCAGCCTGAAGCCCTATAGAACAACGTATGCCAACTGTTCCGTGATCTGCAAGCAGTTTACCTCCGTCCTTAGGTGCACGTTTGACCGTCGCTTCCTCATGTTGTTCTTGGCCTTCATGTACAGTACCGTCCAAAACAGCTTCGTCACAGGAGACGTTACTAAGGTAAAAAATCATTTTAAACTATGAATTATAATGTTTAAATGCATATTTAGGTATAATTTAGTCGTACTACACCTTCTCGACGTAGAAAGCTATCATTTAGATTCATGACGATTGTGTTTGTTTAACTCATCCACCCTTGAAAACACATTTGAACTCTTCCAATTCAAAGGTTGGAATAGTTCATTATGAAATGTCAGGGGTGAATGAGTATGAGAACATATGAAATGCAAAGAATTATATATTTCTGTTAGGTTTTGTCTGTTTTTCGGTCATTGTGATGGGTTGTGTTTATTTTCCAGGCGTTCGTCACGTGTTCGATGGGTATACATATGGTGGGTTATGCGATGATCTGTTTTGGCGTCTGCGCTGGCCTCAGCTCCTACTTGAGTGGTTACGTCAACAAGCACGTCGGGCACGTCTGGCTGTTGACCGCAGGTAAGACTGATTGACAACCTTGTATACATTGCTGACAATTTCATTCTCATACACTTATATACTGGTTTGTTTTCTTTTCAGATATTTTTCTTTTCAGCATATTTTTTTCTTTGTTTCAGCTTTGTTTTAAATTTGCAGGCTTTTGTTTCAGCTTTTTCATTTCAGCTCTTATTTCAGGATCTTTTACTGCTTTACATTAAATGTTTTTACGGGTCTTGCGTTATTATGCCCTGTGTGTTGTCTGACCCTTTCTTACCAATGAAGGTTGATACTTTCTATAAAATGATTTATAATACGTATTAAACGGAAAAAAAATATCTACATTTTTTGTTTACAAAGGATTTATGATTCTATTTTAATCAAAAGAAAATCTATCAACTCAAATTTACGGCTGATTTTCGTTTTGTTGCAAGAATACACTACTAAATAAATATGAACACAAGTGACAACCTTCTGTCTCTCATATTAAAGACACATCTGACCAGCGTTTATTACTGATAAAATGTTCTTTCTGTAAATAATAAACTAACATCGAATGAATCCTCTAACACAACCTGAGCCTCTCCACAGAATCACAAATCCTTTGTCGTCAATTTTCAGCTTCCGTTTGCCATGGCGACGCTGACCACCTGACCAGAGGTTGGGCCGTTGTCCAGCTGACAGCTGTAGGCACCAGTTCACCTGTTGACTGATTTTTGTCATTATTATTTCAGTTCCCACGACTAGCACTTAAGTTAAATTCCAGTTGCCTGCTGGGAAGTATCCAACCAAAGCTTTACTGCTTGAGTGCAAGGGATGAACACAAACTCAGTTGAGTTTTCACCCGATAAAGTATCATCATGTTATCTTCCGGCTGGACAATTCGACTTAGTCGAATAAGAAAAGAACAAATGAAAAGTTCCTGCATGAATTCGGACAGGAATAACCATTTATTTGGTTTAATCCAGGCGCTAGGTAAGTAAACCTTTTCTCGGAGAACTCTTGACCATCTGCAATTCCATGCCATGGTCAAAGGAGCTCCATTTTGGCCCTCTCTTTGCCGAATTATCCCAACTCACCTTCTACTGAGTATGTAGGTGTCGACAGTGGAATCACATTTCCGGTATGTTGTTTCATTTCCATTTTATTTCGTGTGAATGGTTCCAGTTTCGACACCCTAAACTCAACAGTTACGAACGAATCTGACATCTCCCTATTTCAATTTATTTTAGCTGCCATCTTGAATCTGGTTCTTCTTCTTGTGATGTCGCTCTGGGAACCACGTGACAACGGAATGATATTCTACTTCATCTTGGTTGGTTGTTGGGGCCTCGGGGACGGTATTTGGATCTCACAAGTGAGCAGTAAGTATATCGATTTCAAAGAATGTTTCTTTCCGTATAGTCTACTTAGTAAGCCATATTATATAGGATTGATGGTTGGTTGTAGATTTCTTAGTTTGTATGGCAAACCTTGGTAAATTGCTAGGGATTTCTAATACACTCATACATGTTTATAGGTCTGATCAGTGAGGTGTTCCCAGATTGTCTCGAAGAGGCATTTGCGGCCCAACGGATGGTTCAGGGCCTGGGTGGAGCCCTTTGGTTTGGCCTGGCCACCTCCATGTGTATGATGACCAAGATCGCCTTGATGGTTGTTCTGTGCATATTATCCATCGCCCTCTACATCATCCAGGAGGTTCTCACCAAGCGCAGACCACACGTTGAGGAAAAGGACGAGAAAACCCCCGTTTAATCGTTTAATTAGCATTTAGCTCTTTTGATCAAAGTCAGAATTTCTATTGTCTTGAAATGTGTGTGTAAAAAGTTTTTAGCGTAGACAGTTAATTGACACGTCATACTCCGTTTTTGCATAAATGTGATAAAAGGTATTTCTTCTTCACTTATTCCTTTTACCTGTATGTAAAGTGTCAAGGAACAGGAAATTGTAAACATTATGTAGTTAAAAGAGATACAAGCATATCTTTCACATCGAAATATATATACAACTATATAAACGATGTTTAACAGGTATGACAATTAGATGTTCCATGTTAAGGTTTTTGATCGTCATTTCTATGAGATATATTCATGGTAACTGTGTTATATACATGTGTTTTTTTGGTCTGGTTTTTTTTTACGGTTTTCTCAATCTAAAATTGAATTTAGGTTTCTAAACTTTGAAACATTTTTGACATTTTGAATTAGGTAACGAAGGTGTCTAAAGGATTGCGCATACTAAGAAGTTTGCTTAAAGTGGAATTGCAGAAACTACAGAGGCGATATATGTGTCCTTAAATGGTCTCTCTGTCCTTATATGGAATCTGATATTTCCTTATATTTCTACTTATATTTCTATTTACAGACAGTTTCTCATCTTCAATTGTAAATGAGACGTTTAGTCATTCTTTTACCGTGGCAAATAAGAAAGATATTCTACCAGTAATTCCAATATAAATTCAAATAAATATAGTGTTTTCACTTCTGTCATAAGCAGCATGAACGCCTAGCAGAAAAATCAACCGTACAGCTGCATGCCAAAAAAAATATAGATGTTAAAAACTCGTATTACGATTCAATTAATTATCAAACTATCATACATGTTATACCTGTGGGAACCTCCCGATATTATTTTCAAAATTAAAGCCAAATAAATAAATATGTTTGTATATCATTATATTTCACAGTACTTAACCTGTTGGGAGATTTTTTAACGGTTTTAAGATTGTCTCCATTGGTAAATGATGTGATGGTTAAATATTAATAGCATTAATTATGATATAGAGCCCAGAGTAAAGAGGATCATTGCAAACATGATGTTGATGATAAGGCAATGAGAGTATTCATGGATCAATGTTCACATAAGCGTTTTTCACATGTGTAAAGGACTGTTCAAAGTTTAACAAAATATATTATAGTTTATAGGTCAATGTTCGCCATATGCTCTTTAACTTTTAGTCAAGTGCTATTTAAGGGCCAATACTTGCTTTGTTAAATTGCTAGCCACTACCAGTGAGTCATACTCGATGAAGAATGACGTCACAACAATTGTAGTTACTTCCCTCCTATTCTTTTTTTTTTATCTTTTTTTTCGTAGACTTTTACCCCATTTCCAAAGTGCCAGTGTATAATCATGGGCACAAGTAGATAGCTTAGTCTATAGATTATTAATGGAATGTTTATTTGGTCTCAAATAGATCGTTTTAAAATTTAACATCTAGGGACTTGTGCAAGTCTATAGTGTAAATAAAGGATGAGTACGCTCACGGAAGGATCAAGTTCGACTCAGGGTTACGTCTTCAAGGTGATATGTATACTTGTTGTGTACAGTGCGTCGTTGTTGGTTTGTTGTTTTACATGTAAAATTCCATAGAAAGTCACTATGATGTACAAAATTATTTTCAAAATTAATCTTTAAAGAACGAATTTTAAACAGAATTTAACTCATTCACCCCTGAATACACATTTGAACTCTTCCAATTCAATGGTTGGAATAGTTCATTCTGAAATTTCAGGGGTGATGGAATAGTTCATTCTGAAATTTTAGGGGTGAATGAGTTAACTTCGAAGAATGTGAATGGTGTCAACTTGTGTATATATATTGAATGGATTTTTACTTAATAGTGTCAGGAAATGAATGGATTCTTACATAATAGTGTCAGGAAATGAAAGTGACATTAGTCACAGAGAAAGTGAAAGGGCGTACTGGATTGGTACCGTACGGGACGTGTGGTTGTGAAGAGCATGTTTGTTTTATGTACTTGTTAACGTTAATGTACATTTGTTATTATCTTAATATGGAACGTTAAACATTTTGGAATATCGGGTAGATTGCATGACAAAACATCGGGTATATCTTAACTTCAGACAGATGTTAACATGATATGTAGAAGTTTGTCGGGCATGAAGCGCTCTATAATAGCTGTCCAACGAAACTCTGTTGGTCAATATTCATAGATTTCGTTCTGTTTGTTTGGCCGAATTGGTGCTTTTATTGATCTAGAGGCGCGGTAGTCCAGTGATAGGACGCATGGCTCGTGACCGAAGGGTTGCAGGTTCGAGTCAGGTTACGGCCCTGTGTTGTATCTTTATACAAGGTACTTTCCTTCGCTTGTTCCAGTCTACTCAGCGGGAAATAAGTACGTGGTTGGTCAGTGCCAGAATTGTAGAATGCTAGCTGTATACTCCCCAGGGAGTTGAGAGAGATATTGTCTGGTTGCAAAGGCCCTATAACCACGGATAATAATTTGTGAACCGCTTTGAGACGACCTACGAACTAGGTTATGATTTATTATTCTTATTCTTATTATTATCTTAAGATCTCATTATATTATTTCACAGATAATATCTGTCTTGCTAGTTACAGGGATAGCGTCACTTGTTACAAATACAAATATGAAAATTCGTGTCTGTCAGTGAAGGTTCCTAAGCCATTTGATTTATCGATTTGGGTAGCAACATTCTTCTACTTTTAGAGGCAAAAGAATTGGCAATGTTTGTTGCATGTATATGACGTAATTACTGTTTAACCGTGACAAACGTTATCGAACGCCGTGTCACGTGACAAACATTTCCATGACAACCGAGCACGTAAATGTCAGGGTATTATTAAGCTTACGCCATCCATCCCCATCTTTCACAATTTTGTCATGTCAAATATTAATCTCAAATATTTTTGTTACATTATTTTTTTACACCAAGTAACAAGACAATATATTACAATCCACACCTGTTTCACTTAAAGGTGTTTTTTGAGTCAAAAACGGTTTCATTTTTCTTTCTTTTTTTTCATTAAATTTTGTTAGATTATGCCAAAAAGAGTTACTTTTCCTGTCTCATGTTTGAATCTATTTTGATAAAACTTGTTTTTTGGTGTGACCAACATAAATGTGTTACTAGATGTATTGTTATTTTTTTCATAATGTAATTATGTAAATAGACTTTGTATTGTGATGCAGATGGTTCGACTCGTGCTAGAGGTTTGTGATTATCCCCAGATAAATACTCATGAAATGAGACGTGGGGGGATAGTACAAAATATTCATCGCCGCATTTACGCATTTTATTACTGTGTACAGCAAGTGGTTTGTTCAATGAGCAATAAAATCGTGTACAAAATATAACTCTGATTTCTTGTATCATTTGAGATATTTTTTAATGAAACCCAACTATGTTTTCTAAAAATATAATGTTGTTGTATTTAGCACTTTCCTCGACACAGGAATGGAAAAATATCTATTTACATTGGAGATTACTTTTAAGTATATGTTACATTTATATTATGTGGGGCAAAGAAGTAATTCCAACAGTGTGGACAAGTTTAGGTTGTCAAATTTTCGGAGCGATCCGCTCCTTTATCAAGCACAGTGAAACAGAACAGTTACATGTACGTATACATCATATTACAAGAAGATAGAACTGATATACTATAATTGAAAATAAAGCTATTATAGAAAACCAATAGTCCCCTCGGCTAAAGACAGCCGAAGGCAGCAATTAAGCTGAGAGCAGCGCACTGTTGGAATTACTTCTTTGCCCCATATACTATTTTAAGTAATTCGTATCATACGGGGACATACCTCCATTAGGATCCAGTGTTATATGGGATTTTGCCGTCTATATTACTTCTTTGACCCTTACATTTATATTACATATATATAAATATAAATATAATTTTTTAAGACGATTCGCCCCTTTTTCAGGACAGAACCATCAGAGCATATAATAAAGATGTTTATTTAGGGGGGCGAATCGTCTTGCACATCTACGTTAGTTAGACGCAGTCAACCACCATTTGTTAGTCCGTTCGGATCCAGTATGTGTCGTCATCACTTATGAGATCTATATATATAACCTAGATTTTAAAGTAAATGTAAGTGTCACTAAAAATGACACATATCATTATCTAAACAGGTTACATAGACATTTACGAACAACGGCAAGATGTTAAGTTAGTGTGAAATGTAATGATGAACCTCTGAAGAGGTCTCTTGTCATTTATTATATATATATATAATATATCATCAAGAAACAAGGACCACATCTAGCAGGGAAAAGATAGCAAAAGCTTGAACAGAAAGGAGACATCAAAGACGCAGAGAAAAATCCGTCATAAAAAAACCCACATGAAATATCCTCAATATCCAGGAGTTTCGCTTACTATCGCGCTCTGCACCCCTGGAATATGTCATAGCAAAATTGAAGGCACGAAGATAGCAGTTAGTAATTTTTTACCGTTACGTGACCGAGAGATTCTTTTGGTGTATATTAAAGGAACAAGGTGGTACACACTGAGCCTTCGATTTTGCTATGACATATCCCAGGGGTGTAGAGAGCGAAAGTGAGCGTAACCCTGGGGTATCGAGGTTGTTTATGAATAAGGTCATACACTTTTTTTTCTCTCCGGTTATTTAATCATGTCATATGGAAAATCCTACTTAGTAATGGCTCGCATTATGGAACGATACAGAAAATCTACATATTTGGAGCTGAATCATTTCATGTGAAAAAACTTTCCAAGAAGTAAATTGTTCAGAATGAGCAGCAAAGACTTGGTTTTCGCAACTGAAATTAGCGAACCTGAAATCAAAGACGTCACACTAGTCGTGGACTTTGATAGTGAAGATAAGTGTCATTGTTGGCGGATTGGTCGAGTAGTTAACACTTCGGCTTTCCACACAGTCGGCCGGGGTTCGATCCCCGAAGTCGTCGTACGCATGAATATTCAGAGAAAGTGTTTTCCTCCTGGCCACACAACTCCAACAACCCAGGTGGAGTATAAATTGGTCTGGGGTGGATGTTGTGGTATCTGTGCTGTGACATTCAAGTGAGATTGCACAATTGGAATCACGATCCCGCTAAAAATAGAACACATTACATCTCCAGGACACACGCAGGCAATACACACATAGGAAGATATTAGCCAGGTGACACAGGAGTAGTAGTAAGCGCTTGATAAGGCAGCTTCTGCGAATTCCTCAAAAAATGTATTGATTAATGTATATGCTAATTCTATATCTATGTACTGTAAAGGGCTTTGGAGTGACTTATGTTATGTAAATAGGGCGCTATATCAAATATTGTATATTGTATAGTATTATAATGAAGGTAAATATCACTTATTTAACACGATTTTTAATACAGTACATATCGCCCGAAGTTATACTGGCTAATCTGTTAATTGTGATAGTTTCTACTCCTAACTGCGCTCTATATATAAAATTAGGATGTGTATTTTAAAATCTTGAACCCGGTTTTCCAAACACTGATTGGCATAACAAGTCGTTAATATAAATTTGCATTTCTTGTTCATTGTTCCAACCGTTTTGTCCGTTTTTAGATGTAACATTTTCGGGTATTAATCGTGGCGGACCTGCAAATGTTTATACATGCATTGCATGGCTTGGTCACGGATCACCTGAAAACAGCATCAGATAACTGGGTCCGACCTTATTTCATAAACGATCGTGATAAACGAAAACGGCCAGTATCAACAACAAGACTGTACCAGTTACCTCCCTTTAAACGTAAAATCCATATTTGTGAGTTGTAGCCCTTTATATACAAGTTAATACTAACCCAATTAAGAACAAAACATCTAGTTTTGTTAACATAAGTCATGTGGGATGGGGAACGATTGTTTTCTGCACGTGCAGTTTTTAATACATAACTGAGCAATTAACTTCTATCTATGATAAACAATTTTACAACATTCCAAATATCATTGCTTGTAAATACCTTTATCCAGATCCTTCGTAACTTGAACTTGGTTCGTGCTTTTTACATAACTAGTCACTAAAACTGAGGAGAGTGGGTTTGGCTTCTGTTTAAGTTGATGTATTTTTCTAACTCCAAACAATGTTTTTCTACATATTCTATTCCATTTTATTTGCCTCCAAGTTATAATGTAACTGAAAAAGCAGCCAAAAAGATAGATTCGAATCTGTTGTTATGTGAAACATGCAAATTACTGTACATAATGTTGACCGTAATATAAGTTTCAATTAATTTGAAGAAAAAACAGATGCTGCGACAATCAATGCGTATATTATCGTTATCATCATACGTTATGTTTGATAGAATAATTGGCTCAACTTTTTAATACATAGGTAATTCGTCCATTTGTGTTTTGCTGACGTCACAAAAACCGTTGGAACGTCAATTCAAATTTGCACACCAGCTCAAACGTGTGAATTGTTGACGAGGTCACAAAATGTCCAGGTATATGTCTGAAACAAACTTCAACAGTGCCGTAGCCATTGAGTAGCGACACAGTTTGTGAAGTGTAATTCTGTGTAAGTCACGATCTATGTATTTACATCATTCTGCATTGTCATTATATTATCTTTTAATTTATTATATATTTTTACGTTCATTCCCATAAGCTGGTTGCGTTTGAGCTAAGTTTGTGTGTGCATTG